AGGCTTGAAACTAGCAGTGCAATTAGAAGCTAGAGAGCTGGAAGTAGAAGGGGACTCACTATTGGTCATCTCTTGGGCTAAGCAATTAAACTCAGCACCCTGGAAGTATAGATTTGCATTCAAGGAGATTGACCATCTAGCAAAGAGTTTTAACTCTAAATTTGGTTGAGTTAAAAGAACAACAAATGGATTGGCAGATACTCTAGCAAGACAGGGAGTTGATAGGCCTACTCTATTTTGGGCCAAATTGTATCTGGTTGTATCAAAATAGAGAGATGATGATCCTTGTAATCTGGGACAAATTGTACATTGCTGTACTATGGGCTGCAAAGTCACTAAAGCACTTGTAACCTGTTTTTAAATTAATAAATAAAATCTCTTTGCTGATCAAAAGAAAAAAAGCATAAAAGTGAGTCTATTTATGTGTTATGTTGCTGGGTTCGGAGTGGGATCAGAGGCAGTCAGATGGGAGGATGAAGTTTATATATTCACCACTAACTGATTAAATAATAAAGAAAATGGTGAGGGTTGCTGAAACCCTGTTTAGCCATTCTCTGATCATAGGGCAGACCTTGGTGTTTGTTGCTTTTTTGCCAATTTGGGTTTTAATGAAAGATTTATCGCTTGAAGTATTTTTCCTCAAATCTTTGAAGATAGTGAGAAGAGGATTTTGTTATAGAGGCAGTGAGAAGAGGGAATACAAATGGTCTTATGGGTGGGTTTTTCAATCAAGGGCAAATTGGTCAGAAACATTTAAGTTTTTGTCTCACTCACCATATCTGCAATTATTTTCTAAACATAAATGGGTTTGCCATTACACCAAACTTTATCATTTAATATGCAAAATGCCGTATAATTTATGTAATAAACATAATCCATAAAAAATTATGTAATAAACATATGCATTACAAACATTCATTTGAATGCATATATTGTACTCATTTTCATATGACCAGCAGAAGGAATGGCTGAACAAATAAGGAGATGAAGAGCGATCAACCCATGGCTTGCACCAAAAACAAGCCCTCCACATGTGAAGAATACATGAACAAGGCTCTAATCCAATCAGGGAGAACCCAAGACCAAGTATATACAGAAAAGAAAAACAAGAACCAGAAGATCCCCTCAAAACCCATCTGACAGACAAAGAGCCAGCCAACCAAGATGGCCACAATTGTGACAGCCACCTAAAATGGAAGGGGTGATCCTTGCTTTTCCTAGTTAGGAGAAGTAGAAAACCTAGCAGAAATATTCTAGGAGGCTGAGCTTCAGGAATTATAGGCATCGTTATCTGAACTTATGATGGGTTGATCACTCTCATCTCATTGTAGTCATGAAGCAAAATATTTATTTATCTCAAATTTCTTCATTTTAGGTATTTTAAATAGCACTTACCTTCCTAAATTCATTTTGTATTGCCATCACTTCTTATAGGCTAGGTTGTGAACAATTGCACATTGTACATATGGTTTCCATATTCACCTCCACCATTTTTACATACGGAGTGAAGAGTCCAAGGGTTTTCTTTTCACTTTTACTGTTTCTCTTTTCTTTTTCTAGTTTCATACTTTAAGTCTATTTAGCACAATACAAGGTCTGAACTAACCAACACCCTCACCACAAAAAAAATCAATACGGGTGATTAGGATGATTTTTATCAACATGGTGATGTGGCAAGATCAGAGTTTTTGACTGCAGTTTATGGGGTTGAGAAGGCAAAAGAACTGGGTATTAGTAGGCTGATTGTTGAGGGAGACTCGAAAACTGTGGCTAAGTGGCTGTTTAAGGGGGAGTGGCATGGCATTTGAGGAATGATTTCAGAAGATTCAAATGGCTGTCACAGGACATGTCAATCCGAGTGAGATGGGTGTGGAGAACTGCAATAGTTTGGCAGATAGCTTAGCCAAGCAAGGGGTGCATAGAACACATATTTTGGGCTCAAATGTAATACTGAATTGGGATTGCTTCTAAAGCTGGTTTCTTTCCCACTTCTTATTGTAATCCTGTTTTCTTCTAATTAATGAAATCTTTTTTTTCTCTGTTACTGATAAAAAAAAGATTTTTAACAAGTTGATGGTAGAACAGAGGCCCCCAACCTGTTCAGTTTGATCCTTGGATTAAATGTAACAACCAATAGCGCTGGGCATAAACAAGGAGGTTTAACATTGAAATAGTAACAGCAAGCAACTATAAGCAAATCTATTCAAAACAAGGACAAAAATGTGATTAGAATGAAAAAGAAACAAGGGCTAATTTTGGATCAAGTATGGTTAAAAATGGACTGCTACATGAACAGAAAAAGTGCTGTCACCACATTCTGAAGGTCCAAGCTGAAATCTATATGAAATGGAAGCAAGAAAGGGGGTTAAGTATGAAATAGAGTGAAACCAGATGAAAGACTAGGAAAGAAAATGAACAGAATTCCATTACATAACTGATGATAACTTATCATAAATCTACCGATGAAACTAACACTACCTAAATAATTAGAAGACTATATTATCCTTAGAGGATTTAGCTAGTGCCTTGAGTGTTGATGTAGTTCCTCTATTTTGCGGGATGGACCTGCAAAATGAGAACAAGAATAAATAACCTAGGAATTAGCACCTATTGCTCTGTTTACATCAAATACTCTTCTCTCTTTCCAACTCAGCATCCCTAACTTCCTGCTGAACATCCTCTTTCTATTCCACCAAACTATCTATAAAATATCTCTGCTTCCATCTAAGGATTTTGTTTGACAAGAAGCCACCTATGGGTACTCTAGGACGTCAATTGTATTCTCGATCTTCAATTAACATTACAAGAAATTGCTTTGAAGGGATAATGACCTCACCTTCAGTAGAGATTCAGAATTCTGAACTCGTATGATTTACCTGCATGTCATGTGAATTGCCATCAGTGATATCATCAACACCATGATACTTCAGTCAAATCATTGCCATTTCTGATTCTGACAGTCAAACAAAACAAGTTTTCTACATGTATTACCTATGGCAATAATGTAAATCCCACAAGCAGAGAGGGGTCCCTGACTCCCTGTGATTCTCATCCACTCTTGCCTTTTTTTTTTCAAAATGCCTTCAGAAATTCAACCAAACGACTCCATTTTTTGATATGGAAGTGCAAAACCTATCCATATGAAACTTTCATCTCAAATTTCTTCTTTATGTGCAATATAAATAAAGAAAAAAGTTTCCATGCAGTGGTTAAACTTCAACAGTTCTTGCCTTCTGCCTATTCCTCCCAAATTCATTCAGATTTTTTTTTTTCAGTAGGGTTTGAACCTACATATCTTCTGAACTAACATGTTTCCAACAAATCTAATCATTTGCTATCATTTCTATCACATCGAACTATAATTTTATATTATCTAAGCGCCAAACTTCTTGTTTCTCCATTTTCAGCTTATACTAAAACTGCTGAGATACATATTGGTTGGTAGTTGATTAACCATCAATCTCAGATTCTAGTGTATCCATTAGAAATTGTCTGTGAAGTTTTGTTCCATTTACGTCCTTCTATCTGAACTGAATTAGAGGTCAATATCTCCATAACCTCTAACCTCATTAAGGTAATACACCAATCATCAAGGGCCACTTACACAAATGAGTTACAGACACTGAAACTCCTTCGATAAGAAGTGAGAACAATGACTTATTGGCAACTTGAGCCCCCCATATGTAGATATATAAGTTCCACTAATGGAATTAGTATCCCTCATGGGCCTTTTGATGATCCAGAAAATGGTCCAATCAGCTTAGAGGGAAACCCCTCCTATTGCCAGCTCAACCAGGTTCTTTCACCCATCAAATTATGGAGGTGGGAAGAAGATCAACTCTCCTAGGAGGTCTGCTAGTAGAAAATTGGAAGATCTCCAGGAGGCTTTATTTATTTGTTTAGTTTGTTTTTCTATCTATAAATAAGAAAAGAAAATATCTATAAAAAAATAAAATAAAATAAAATAGATAGAAGATACAAATCAGCTTGCAGGATCTTCTCATGTTTGTCATATGAAATCCCTTTGATTCTTCTCTATCCATTACCCTAGAGCTAAGAAGGAATAGCTTCTCATTTGTCAATTCACTCGTACTCTTAAATTTAAAAACATGGAAGTTTCATTATTGATATTTGATCAGCACACTGGTAGATGATGGAATTTATATGATTGACTGAAAGAAACAACCTTTTCTAAGAAATTTTATGTTATGTGGTTTAAATTTAGTTATTTATAATCCACTATTGTAAAACATGCCTGGGGATATGTGAGTTATTTGGTATGTCCAAGAAAGCGAAAGTTTGCTGATCAACTATACCATTTGCGATTATGTGGGCCATTTGAAAGTTGTATTGGCAGATCTAAAAAGGCCAAAGAAATGTGGTACAGCAAGTTAATGGTAGAAGGTGACTTCAAGGTCATAACAGGCTTGTTGGGAAGTAACGAGGAGGAACCGTGGAAGCACAGATATGAAATCAGATTGGGGGCAGTTATCCAATGGGCACTAAGGTTTACAAATAGCGTAGCTGATGGGCCGGAAAAAATATGGGGTAAGAAGGAATTCAATGTATTGGGGAATAGTACACCAAGGGAGCAGGGAGGAATTGTACCTGATACTAATCTTATAAGGATGGTTACTGAGGCTGACCTTTGATCTACTCTTTCTTACTCTACAATTTACTGATTAATAAAATTTTCACAGTTATAAAAAAAGTGAGCCATTTGGTACAATAGAATTTTTGATAAAAAAATCAACATCTGAAGCAGGGGTGTTAATCTGGTATTAGAGGAACTTAGGAATTGGATGTCTATACACAATGTATTTAAATATGCCATTTTTTCTTCTTCTTCTTTGAGGTTGGACTTTTTGGAGGTCCCTAAATAGATTATACATGTACAACATCTCATTGTATAGAGGACCATTTTCTTTTTGATACCAATGTATGTACTTCACCTTATAAAAAACTGCATGGTGGATGTCTGACAAATTGTTGAAATGCAGGTCCTTGACATTTAACATTAGGAGAGTTGCAAACCTCCTTCTGAGCCAGAGAAGCAGCTATTCAGAAATAAATAACCATGGGGCACTTTTTAGACATCAACCACCTTCCTATTCATGCAGACCATACTCACAGTATAAATCTTCTAGTAGAGGATATGCTTCATTTACATTGTACAAGGCCAAAGGGAACTTATACCACAATGGTTGTACCAGAAGACACTTTGTCTCCTCAGCAAGTACTGCTATGACACATCATGCCCAAGATGCTTGGAGAAGACTTTCACAAATATGTTCTTATAGAGGTCCAGCTTTCCCACCAATTAGTAGGATTGCTTGTGCTGTGAGCTTGGCATTGAGCAGATCACACGTTTTAGCACCTAGTGTCTTTGCCTTTATTATTGGAGAGGTAGCTTGGGCACAGAAAACTTGGGCAGATGTTGAACACTTGTCCCACAGAAATGCATTCTATGCTAATGCACAAGATGGACATATTTACTTGACCTCACTCATGTTCTCTCTCCTAGAGGGTTTTATTGTGTTTCTGAGATCGTTTTATTTGGCGATTTTATTCTTGCCCACCATGACAATGGCACCATTTGCTGATTGTTTTGGAACCCAATTTCGGAAGGTTTGGCTTCAGGTTGTGCGTTTTACACTAGAAAAAGCGGGCCCAGCATTCATAAAATGGGGCCAGTGGGCGGCCACACGACCAGATCTCTTCCCCAGAGATCTATGCATTGAACTTTCCAAGCTTCACAGCAAAGCACCAGCACACAGCTTTGCCTTCACAAAGAGAACTATTGAGTCGGCATTTGGTCGCAAGCTTCCTGAAATTTTTGAAGATTTTGAAGAGGAGCCTGTAGCATCTGGAAGTATTGCTCAAGTGCATAAAGCTTCTTTGAGATTTCGGTACCCTGGTCAACAAGTCAAGCCCATTGTTGTTGCTGTAAAAGTTAGGCATCCTGGTGTTGGTGAAGCAATTAGAAGGGATTTTATGATAATTAATTTGGTTGCCAAAATCTCGAATTTCATCCCTACTTTAAAGTGGTTGAGACTGGATGAAAGTGTGCAACAATTTGCTGTATTTATGATGTCTCAAGTTGATCTTGCAAGGGAAGCTGCTCAATTAAACAGATTTATATATAACTTCCGAAGATGGAAGGATGTATCCTTTCCAAGGCCACTATATCCACTTGTGCACCCTGCAGTCTTAGTAGAGACTTACGAGCAAGGGGAAAATGTTTCCCACTATGTTGATGAGACAGAGGGAAATAATCGAGTTAAAAGTGCTCTTGCTCACATAGGGACTCATGCACTTCTTAAGATGCTTCTGGTAAAATTTCATTATACTCTGGCTGTATAAATAATAATTGAGGAATGTGGTTAATGTGGTTTTAGTATGCTTCATTGTAGTAGGGGTAATCCTGTCATTGTACTGGTCCTTGTTCCTTGCATAATAAATAAATAGAAGACTTAGCAGTGCTAGGGAGGGATTTGCACCTCTACGTTCTTCAAAATTTCTATTATTTTTTCTCTTCTTTGTTTTCTCCTTCCCATCTGTAAATTACAGAACCAGATCATAACCAGGAACATTATTTTATCTCATTTAAGCTGAACATTATTTTATCTCATTTGTTTCCATAAATTATGTTCTTATACCTCTATGTAGTTTTTCTATCTTCTTTTGTGTAGCCTTTGAATATTTCCTCCTCCCTCCCTTCACCCATCCAGGTGCATACCTGCACACAGATAACTTTTGGTAGCATACTAGAAACTTGGATTCTATTATCAATTTTATGGTGCTTGATTCCTTTCTATTGTGGTTCTGAAATTCAGATGTTGATAATGAACCTCTCAATGTGAACTTTACTAGTCTCTATAACAGAAGATTGTATAGTTTGAGCTATTGAATTGTGATAATATTCTGACATTTCATATTCCTTTTACAGGTGGACAATTTTATCCATGCAGATATGCATCCTGGAAATATCCTTGTCCGAGTAGCTGAAAACAAATCTACACCTAAACGGATTTTTAAATCCAAGCCTCATGTCATCTTCCTTGATGTAGGCATGACGACTGAGCTCTCTAAGAATGATCGGGTGAATTTGCTTGAGTTCTTTAAGGCTGTTGCCCTTCGAGATGGCCGTACTGCTGCAGAATGCACTCTGAGATTGTCAAAACAACAGAGCTGCCCAAATCCAGAGGCCTTCATTGAGGTAATTCATAATAAAGTAATATTTCTTCTAGGGGGCAACATGTTGGTTTTCATTACCAAATGGAACATATTCTTCTTATACCATACAGTCATACACTTCTTTCACAAATCTGTCTTTTTTCCATAGAACAATATGCTTTTTATTGACACAACTCTAATGTAGCTTAATGTATATCATTTCAATTGATATTTAAGGGGATTACATACAAGAGGGACAGACAACATGAAGTTTGACAAAGAATTGCCAAAGAATGAAAAAGATGAAAAATAGCAACCAAAGATTACCACTCTCAACTGATGCAATGGTTATACTTTCTGTAAAAATCCTGTGACTCCACTAGAATGAGTTTATTCTGGCTTCTAATTAGACTCCTAGATACTCTTAAGAATAAGAACTGGGAAAATAGTACTGCACTTAAAATAACAGTTTCCTAAACAAGATAGGAAACTTTTTAGTATAGACCTTCTGAAAAGAGAAAACTCCCTAAAGAACTGTTTTTTCATTCTTAAAAAAAAAATAGAAACTACGATTTTAAAAACTGCTTTCAACTTCCAAGTATGGGTGCAGTCATTTATTCCTCCTTTCATATTTTTTACTAACTTTTTATGCTCATGACTCTCCAGAAATTGATTTGCTGTATCCTCTATTTCTGTAGAAGGCTGAACTAAATCAGGAAGAAAGATCTCTGTATTCTTTGGTACAATGGAGAGATTCATGACTGCTGCTCAACCCATAGAACTGCTACTCAGATCAAAAACCTTTTTTTTTTTTTTGAAAAGATAAGGTAACAATTTTATCAAAAGAGAGAGAATGGAGTACAACCATTTTCTGGCAGAGAGAGTTCTAACCACGAAAAAAAGAAACAGCTTAAAAACTCCACAAAAGACTGAGAATTGAGCAGCTGGGGTACATAGCACTCCAGGTTAAATCCTCTGTACTTTTTCAAGTGTTATAAAAGACTCGACTATTTCTTTCAGCCCAGATTGATGCTAAAACAGCCACAGGAATGGTAAACACACTTGATCCCATTTAACTAAGTGTATTTTCTTTTCTTCGTCCCATCCTCTCCAAAGGAAGTTTCTCTGCAAACTCTCCAACTTTGTTTGCCACTTTGAGAGGGATTGGAAGAGGGAGAGATTGGATAAAGTACTTTTGATTAGAGTCACTCTACCCCCAAAAGAAAGATGTTTAGCCTTCCAGGACGACAGTTTCTTTTCCATTCACTCAATTATTGGTTCCCAAATAGAGGAAGAAGTACATTTAGCCCCTAGAGGAAGCCCAAGGTATTTCCTGGGAGATGGTCAACCTGACAAGTTCACACACCAGTCAGCTCCTCCAAATTTTCAACCTGCCCCACTGGGATTATTTAAACTTTTGTCCAAATTCACTTCGAGACCCGACAACACCTCAAACCAGTAGAGGATACCTAATATTAGCTCCAACTGCTCAGGGGAAGCATCAATAAAGCACAATGAATCATCAGCAAACTGAAGTGGACTTTCCCCCTCCAGGAGAAATTTCAAAACCTTCCACAACCCAGCCGAGGAAGTCAACTTGCTGGACTGAAAAAACATTTCCATGAGACAAATGAATAGCAGGGGGAAGAGGGGATCTCCCTGCTTAATTCCTCTGGAGCTCTCAAAAAAACTTGTGACTTGCCCATTAATAAGTACAAAGAACTTTGGAGAAGTAATGCAAACCTTAACCTAGTTCCTCCATTTTTACCTTAACTTCATCTTCTCAAGCACAAAATCAAGGCATCTCTAGGTCACATGGCTGTAGGCTTTTTCAATGTCCAACTTGCAAATCAAGCCAGGTTTACCTTCCCTCCCTATAGAGTCAATAAGCTCATTTTCTATTAGAACACTGGCATTTGCCTGCTTGGAACAAACGCAGATTGGTTTTCAGAAATCACACTACTCAAAAGCCCTTTCATTCTTTCAGCTAACACTTTCTCCAGACGAGGAAGAATCTTAAAAAGGAAGTGTTGTTCATTATGAGCTATGAAGTACAGAGTCAAGACCTTTATCTGAGTCTCTGTCTCATCACTTTTATCATCAGTTTTCCACATCAAAATATCTCCCCCCCGACAGAAAAAACAAAAATAAAGAACTTGTATTGGATCTTGAGGCATTTCACTTCATTTCATGGCCACACTGTCACACATTTTTTTATTGGTAACTTTTGCTCAATTTTATTAATATGTGAAGAAGAGTAAATATATAAAAAGCAGTTACAATGAATGCCCACAACTCCCTAATAACTGTTAATAGCTTACCCCTATGATGGTCCCTTACATTACATGTATCATTCCATATCTCTATCCGAGATCCCCCAAAACAGTTGGTCTCTACTGGTGCCCTGTCTAGCTAGACCATCAACCTTTACATTACTGATCTTCATGTCCAAACAAAGGTGTTCTTCATCTCCCTAGCCATATTCCTAGCTTCTCTTATTATATGTCTGTGTGTCTTTTTTTTTTTGATAAATGAGTAAGATTTTATTAAACCAGAAAATAAGAGTTACATGCATCCCATGGAAAGGCATGAGGTGCGACCTTTCCTTTAAGACTAGTTACAGAATTGTAAGTACAAAAGACATTACACAGAAGCCCAAAATAAAGTAGCTCGAAGAACCCCCTGTTTTGCAAGTGAATCAGCCATTGAATTTGTTGATCTGCCTACCCACTGAACTCTAATTGCCATATTCCTTGTTAGCCATTTAACCTTTTTAAGAAGATCTCTAAAACCCCATATCACAGAGTCCGGATCCTTCAACCAACCCACTATCACCTGGGAGTCCCCTTCAATTATCAGATGCTCTATGCCTAGCTGATTTGCGAGCTGGATTCCTTGTACAACAGCAAGTAATTCGGCCCTTTAAGAGTCTCCCACACCCTCAGGACCTAAGTACAAAGATATAATGCTACTCTCTTTATTTCTCAGCACTCCTCCTATGCCTGAAGGTCCTGGATTACCTCAGATACTTCCATCAAAGTCCAGCTTGATAAACTCCTCCCCTGGCGTCTTCCATTCAACCACATGTCTGTCCTTCCTAGTAGAAGTATTAGCCACTGTTAACTAGCTTCTCCATAGGTCATCAAAAGAGTATGCATCAAAGAGATTTATAGTTTTCAACCACTAAATTTCCCTTGTCAGAATACATTTTTTAACTTCCGAAAAGCTCATTTCTTTTTCACAAAAAACTATGGTGTTCCTTTCTTCCCAAACCGTCCACAAAAAACTATGGTGTTTCACCTACACTTAAACATAAAACTCCAACTCCATAAAGCTGTAGCAAAGGAGCAAGAGATCAGTAAGTGGTGACAGTCCTCATTCTGAGATTTACAAATAACACACCAATTAGGGGATAAGCACTATTTTGGTCTCCTCTTTTGCAGGTTTTCAAAGGTATTAATCTTACCATAATAAACTTCCCAACAAAAAACAGCAATCTTTGGGGGAATGGGTCTAGTCAAGAATTCTTTAACTGGGAAGTTCTGGGGTGTAGAAGTGGAGCAAAGGAACTTGAAGAAAGAGGAGTACACCCAGATTTTTTTGTCTACAGCCAAGCGAAGAACTTGTAATAGCGTAAAAAGGACCGTAACAAAGGGTGGGTAGCAATAGCTGACCCAAAACTTAAGGAATTCCCGAGGAAACCAACAATCCCAGACAAAGAGTGACAACCAGCATGAGAAATTTCAATCAATTTGTGGATACTTTTGAGCTTAAGGAATTCCCGATCCAAAGCAATATCTACACTTGGTTCAACCTTCAATCTAACCCAATCTACTCTAAGTTAGACAGATTCTTGTTCTCAACAGATTGGGAGGAGCATTGGGGGGAACCTAAATTCTAGAGCACTCCCTAGACTCACTTCAGACCATTGGCCTATAGTGTTGTGTAAGGAGGACTTAAGAGGAGGTGGACATGCTCCCTTTAGGTTTGAGAATATGTGGTTGATCCATCCGGGATTCATAGAGAAGATCAGAGAATGGTGGGAACGACACAATCTGTCAGTTGAATGGGAGGGGATGGGATTCAACAAAAAGATTCAATTCCTAAAATCTCAAATAAAGGAGTGGAACCGTCTGGAATTTGGAAGAGTGGAGGAAAGAAAGAAGATTTTAATGGAACAGATTGAGGAACTGGACTTGAAGGAGGAAAGAGGTTCTTTTGGAGAATAAGACAGAGAATTGAGATGGAGGGTTAGAAAACGGTTGGAGGATCTCTTATTGCAGGAAGAGATAAGTTGGAGACAAAAGTCTAGATGTAAATGGTTAAAGGAGGGAGACAGAAACACAGGGTTTTTTCACTCTGTGGCAAACACTAGAAGAAGGAAGAATATCATTTCTAAGCTAGAAGTTGATGGAGCTGTTCTTTCCCAACCAACAGAAATAGCAGAGGCTTTTGCAACCTATTTTAAATCAATTTTTGGAAGGCCTCTAAATGAGAGGATTTGGGTGGAGGGGCTGGAATGGCCAACTCTTAGAGCGGGGTTAGAGAAAAACTTTGACTTAGAGGAGATAAAGGAAGCGGTATTTTCAATGGATAGAATGGAAGCTCTAGGCCCAGATGGATTTACAATGTTATTTTATCAGGATTGTTGGGATATTGTGAAGGACCTAGTGTTGGTTTTTGAGGAGTTTCACAGGAGGGGAGTCATTAATCCGGGTTTAAACTCCACATTCATTGCATTGGTCCCTAAGAAGAAAGAGGCATCACAACCAAGGGATTTTAGGCCGATTAGTTTGGTGAATAGTCTGTACAAGATAATTACAAAAGTCTTGTCTCTAAGAATTAAGAAAGTTCTTCCAACCATTATCACACCCAATCAAGGAGCTTTTGTGAAGGGAAGGCAGATCATTGATCAAATTTTTATTGCAAATGAGAGCTCAGAGAATTTTAGGAAATCCAAGAAAAAGGGAGTGGTTTGCAAACTAGACTTAGAGAAGGCTTATGACCTAGTTGACTGGTCCTTTTTGATGGAGGTAATGAAAA